CACATAAAGACATGTCAAAAAGAGAGTTTTTATGGGATTCTCTAGAGTCCTGTGAAAATCTTCGTACACACTATCTACTTCCATAGGAATCAAAAACGTAAATAGCGTGCAGTTGCTGCAAATTTAAATTCAAGTGGTTTTTTGATGATCAAAAAGAGTGAGCATCTCTATAAAAGCATACATTTTGGTAGTTTGTTGGTTTGGAGAATTCAAGTGTAAAATCCTACAATCTTCCCAGGAGTGGATGTCCCAAAAAACCCAAGAGTCAAATTTCAGACTCTTTAGGCCCCAGTTAGCAAGCTAAATGCTAAAGTTGGAGCATGACTTAAGTTCCATATGTACAAACCAATTCTGGAAAAATGTCTAGAACAGACCAAAGTAGATATGTTTGAGCATTGGTGGAAACCAAACCAAACACAGGATATCAGCGCAGACATCTCTTATCAAATGTGAAGCACAGTGATGAAGGGTTGAGGATTTGGCTTATTAAGGATTCACAGGACATGGGAACCTTACTGTCATGAACCCCTCTGTATGCCAAATTCTAGAGTGAAATGTGAGGCCATCTGTCCAACAGTGACAGTGGCAAACCTACAAGACAGTGGCTGAAAAAGAGAATAACCTAGGTTTTGCAATGGCTTGGTCAAAGTCCAGACCTAAAACTCAATGAAATGCTGTGGTGAAAGCTGTGCATAAACAAATGCAAACCTCAATGAACTGATGTAATGTTGTAAAGAAGAGCGCGCTAAAATTCCTCCCCAGCAATGTGAGAGAATGACGTACTGACAGTCATACAGTAAATGATGACTTCAAGTTATAGCTTCTAAAGGTGGTTAGCTAAAAGAATCTTGGTGCGCACTAAGTTTTTCAGAGGATTGTGGAAACTGTTTTTCACATGACTTTATAACACTACTGTGTATATTTAAGAGATTCTGACTACATACCATTTTCTTTGGGGTTGGGCAGATAGGTTGAAAAAGAGAGTGTGTGTGTTTGCGTGAGTATGTGTAATAGTTTGTGTGCATCCTTCCCGGATGACAGGCCCCTCTGTTGGTCATTATTACAGTCTGGCTTAGTAATCAAGAGGAAGACAAAACAATGTGAAAAGGCTTTTGATACAGGCAGGTGTGGCTCCTGGGGGTCTGACACTTCCTTGCTTGTACAACTGTCTGTCTAAAGATGTCTGTAAGCACCCCCCTTGTTTTCCCACTCAATGCTTCAAGTGAAATTTAATGCAGCAACTGCTTCTTCTTTCTTTCTTTCTTTCTTTCTTTCTTTCTTTCTTTCTTTCTTTCTTTCTTTCTTTCTTTCTTTCTTTCTTTCTTTCTTTCTTTTTTTTTAGATCAGAAACAAATGCTGTGGCTATTTTAGAGTAATTGTCGGACCTTAAAGAGAGTCAAAACGTTTCCTAATTATTAGTAATGGTGATAAAGAGGCATGATACAACTAAAGAGTGAGAAAAAGTACACCTCATTTCAGACAAAATACTCAGGAAGGACTTTGAGGGGTCAACCACAATGCTTTGGTTCTCAGAGCAGCATGTTAGTTTCCATTATCAACCGTCAGGTTACTGTAAACTCATGTGATGCTGTGTGGAAGCATGTGCAGTAAAATAAACAGTGAATCGAATTTTTTAAAACCCCAAAACACTGTTTTTACAGAGAACTAAGGATTGCTATATGCATGGCAAGACTGGCATGACATTCTGATGCCAGTTAGGATAAGAACAAACAGACACCTATAATTTCTACTATCCAGCCTGTTAAGAACATCTTTTGTGGGTCAGCTGAGTACAGTGATACATTTTTTTCTTCCTGTTCCCCTCATCTCTGTGGGTGGCTTTGTCAGGATCTGAAAAGACATCTGTTGTGAAGCGCAGTAGCATTCCTGGCCCTGAAACCACGATAATAACCCTTGGCCTGTCAACAGGAGATCATCCAGCAATTGAAGGGAGATTGCTGGACTGGGTGGGTGGTGGCTGTGGCGCAGCGCTGTCAGGTTTTGTTTTGTTTTTTTCAGATTAACAAATGAAATGGATCAGAGGAAAGACAAAAAGATGGAGAAAGACGGCGTGCATCAGTGTATTTCTAATTTAATAAAATAAACCCAAGTCATTCATTGCATTCACATTGCTACCACCGCCATGTAGATGTAGCTTATCTTGCCTCAATCAACTGTCAAAGACCGGATGAAATGCACGTGAGAGTAAATGTTTCCTCAACCACAAGCTGTCGAGAGTATAGGGTATTTCAAGGTAAAGGAAATCACTTAAAGTAACATGAAATGGATGAGGAGGCTGTCATGGCTGACACGCTGATAACGCCACAGTAAGGCAGGGTGACATAGGTCAGAGTAGGGGATAGTGACAGCAAGATAGCTGTGATAAAATTCTAAATATTTCTCCTTGAGTCAGCCGTAAAACTTCAGAAAAAAAGCCAGAGGGGGAGGCTCTGTTGAACAATTGAGGGGTAATGGGTTATAAAATGGGCTTAGTCTTAGCTATCTCTGCCAAAGTGCATTGTCCTCATTCTTGCGGGAGGTGACAAGGAAGGAGTGGTCACCTTTGGTTCTCCTGCGAGACATAACCCAAGGCAGATTGCAGATGGAAATTATAGAGCAACCCATGCCATTAATGGAGCCTTCCCCCACAGGTATTCTTGGCTTGTGTTAAAGCAGGTTTATAATCATAAAATAGTTTTTACATGTACCGCAGGAGATTTAATCAATTCGATGATTAAAGAGAAAAATTCTCAAAATGTGAAAAAATGGGTAGATGCTGTGGTCTATTTTGGTTTAATTAACCCCTTCAGCAGAAAAGCTGAACGTATCTAATGTGCAAAGCAAAATTTAGAGCTGGTGCTATTTCATGTAAGGGCAATGCAAAGGCAGAACGATCCAAGTTTTCCCAAGAGGGTGCAAATTGAAACCTGCTGCTCATTGTGAGCTAGCTAAGAGCTAATGCCTGTACAGTTGGCACACTGACTTCTGTTTGGCAAAGCCAAATTCATGCAAATGATGAAAGTAAAACATTTGCTTCACTTTCTGCCTGAAAGCACTTTTAATCCCAGTCTGCTCAGCGTTTATTGTGATAATGTAAATCTAAGGGTGGCTGTTCTTTAGCAAAATATTCATTGCCCTGGTTTGGGTTCATGACGTGTCTACTTTCACTTCCTACAGCACATCCTAAACCGGTTAAAGTCAGTCAGTGATCTTGTTATTGTTAGTCTACTTGTATGCAGCTTACATTTCATTACACTTCCTGCTCGCTGACTTCATTCTAAGAATGCCATCTCAATTATCAGATGATCTAAACCAAGTTATAACCAGCTACACGGGCATATGTACAACCATACTCAAAAACCTCCACACGTACGTGTAAGTTTGTCTCCAGGGCCTGTACACAACTCAGACTAGAAGTCCATGCTGTCATTATGAGAATTACTCACACATACCTATGACTAATAGACATAGTGTAGAGAAGGTCCAGATAAAGAGGCATTAGAGAGGAAGAGGAGGAGGTGGAGGAGAGGAGAGCTGAATAGAAGGTGATGAATGAGATGACTGAAGGCAAAGAAAGAGAACGAAAGAGTGAGAGACAGAAGTGGATTTTAAATTACATGGTGGCTCATGTCAGCAGTCCTAATTAGTAGCTTGGTCAGGTGTGGTGAGTGGGCAGGAAGCATGAAAAGGACAAAACACCACAAAAACAAAGAAGAGTCTACAAGCGCCAGAATCCACTTGACATATGCCAGTTCATTGTGAACCTCCCCTAATTGAAAGTGAATGTGATCAGTGTAGATGTTTAATGTGCCGTGTGGAATTAGGTTTACAGATAGGTGTACGGCGTGACGGTTCAGAGCGTGGCGCGTGTCTAGCGCGTGGGTGACGAGAAAGAAAATTCTGACAGTTCCTGAGCTGGCTGGAAGCCGGCCAAATCAAATGTTGTGTTTGGAGAGAAGTCAAGAAGAGGAGGGAGCGGAGGTGGAGGTGAAAACAGGGCTGTAGATCTCAATCTTACCTGGGCATTAACAAATTCTGGACCTCCCCCCCAGTGAAGTAGTGTGTAGTGGCTGATTACAAATGTACATGCACCAGAACACACCCTCAAGAGTTTTCCATTTATTTGTCTTTATCACAGCTTATAAAGATTTCTAAGGTGTGACACTGCTTCTTGTTGCACCAGCTTGCATTTTAATTTCAAATAAGGTGTGCATGCACAATATAACCCAGAAACTGTCGTTGTGTATTTGTTTTCAGGATTCTCATTAGAAGTACCTATTTCATCATTCTTAGTATTACAGTGACATAATACCATAACAAGAATTGTGATTAATCTCATGGGTTTGTGTATCTAAAGCTCTGAAGCATCAAGTATCAATATGAATGAGTCAACCAAGCAAAGCAGACATATTTCTACTTACAGCTGTTTATTTAGTGATTTTTAATTTCTTGGTATGTAATAAAAATCATCTTGGTGCATTTATTGTGTATGTTTTTTTAACTGATGATCTTATTTAGCTACAGAACCTAGAGAACAATTGCTTCGTTTAAAAGACTATTACAGACGATGAAGTTTTACAGGTTGTTAAATCTCTATGTTGCTGTAACATTCTTCATGTAAGATATCCTTAGTACACGACTACATGAATTACGACTAATCTGACTAACTTTAAACCTACGATTTACAAATAAATGATCTAATTTCCTCTGCGCGTCCTTGACTCGCTAACATAACACAGGTATGCCCTCTTCCAATCCACAACAGACTGAAAATGAAGATGCATTTGTTTGATCCGGACATAGCTGTGTGACAGCCTACCTGGAGAAAGCCTCTTGCCTCGGGGCAAGAGTGTGACACACACACATGCACATGCACATGCACATGCACACACACACAAACACGCTCCAAGGAGGAGTCATGGGGCAAAGGGGAGAGAGGGGGAGGGAGCATGAGAGGAAAGGGAGTGTATCTCTCTCTCTCTCTTACACTGTCAAACACACACACACACGGTGTATGTGAGCAAGACTCACATACACTGACTGCTCGGTTGCGCAGTCAGTATACTGAGGTCTGCTCAGAGAGAGAGAGAGAGAGAGAGAGGAAGAGAAGACAAGAGGCAGAGAACAGCCACTGGTTGCTTCTAGACACTCAAGCTCAAGAAGGGCACAGACAGCCTGACCTATGTGTGGCTCCTCACAAGGCTTTACAGTAAGTCTGCAACATCTGTCTCAGATCATCTTCTTAATTTTTACAGGAATAATATCGATTGTTCTATATTTTCAGCATGTTTAAGAAGAGTTAGACGTTTTTGGCTCGACTTTTCTTTTCTGCATTACGACACTCTCCCACGAAGTGCAATCTCAAAGTGTGCTTTCTAGAGACAGCCCGTTACATGTCGCCCCCGAGCCACAGCTGTGTGCTCTTGACTCATGTCTTGATTTTTCAAAATATATTTTCTGCTGTGTCACTTGGTTCAATGGTTTCGGAGTGAGCTGTCACACTTGTGACAGTCATTCCGAGTCAGCTGTGGTGACACTTCAGAGAAAAAAATATAAGGTGTAACATCATATATAAATCTCGTCTCTTTGAACTTTTATTTGCATTTGAGAATCCGTTGACATTCTTTTGTTATTGCTGCATATATGCCACTGAGTACAGTTTCTACCACTAGTGCTGAAAACAACAAAAAGACGAGCGGTGGGCTTTTTTAATCGCAGCTTACTGACTGTAGATTTATTTATACATAAATGGGGAGAATTTAGATTTTCTATTCCTTGCAGTCGTTCCCTCAGGAGTGAAGTTTTGACTTGACTTTTTATCTCTCATCAGTAAGGAACGTAAGTCACATGAGTGTTTACCATATATTAGCAAGAACCAGGCTTATCTACCACTATCTCAGAGGCAAACTGATGAGTCTACAAAGGAAGAAGTTCTCAGACAACACATCTGAGCGTTGCCTTTTAATCACGAGCCTGCCATCCACTTTTTCACTCTTCTTTATTTCAGTCTGGGAGCCATATCTTTTGTCGCGGCTGAGTTGCCTGACAATCGCAATGTCGTGAGAAGGGAAAGAGTGAAAATAAGGGACAGAAAGAAAAGGAAACAGAGAGTAGAGTGGCACTTCTTCTCTTTGTTTCGACAAGTAAGAGCAGTTGTTTAGGAAAGGGAGCCACTTCGGGGCTGGCAATCAATGAGCAGACGTACTGCTTTTGTGCTTTTGATCAATTGGTGGTTTTTTTGTTTTTCTTTCTTTACATGTGTCTTCATATTATGGGGTTTTTGTGGACTGAAATCAGGCAGATCTCACTCTAGCAGCCCTTCTGTGGCTTTTTAATACGGTAAATAGTCAGTATAGAGTGTTAAGACCTGGCCGACAGCCAAGTCTCAGTCAGTTCGGAGGAAGTCTGGTTGATTCCCTGGTAGTGCGGGTTTCCTTGTGAAAGTGGTCCTGCTTCGGGGCTGACGTGCACAGGAACCTCTGTTATAGCCCCGGGGTTGTATTCTGAGTCACAGGATGTAAAGGACAGAGGGGGCAAACTTGAAGGTTCCACTTTGAAGTTTGTTTGTCCGGTGTTGGCAGTAGACGGGAAGGTTAGTTTCTCTACAGCATCACAACTGCCTCCTTCTCTATATCACACTTCACAATCTGGGACCTACTTTTAGATTCATTCAAAACTCAACTCGATTCTGCATCTGCTGTTTTATGAAAGAAAGGTTTGCCTTCCACCCTGTATAACCAAAATAGCGTTTAATAATAAAATCAGATATAGAATCATAGGGATTTAAGAGCATTTTTCTTTATTTTCCATAGGCCGCCTCTTCATGTACCTCAAACATGTTAACCTCAGAGAAGTCAGCTCAAACTGTGGGTGCCACTGCAGCGATGCCAGGAAAACACGATGTTGATATGACATCATGGAGCGAGGCAGACTTTGAGGAGAACTGCACTTACATCGTGAAGGACCAACCTCTGGAAGGCGAGTCCGAAAACAATTGCAAGACACGAGCTGAGAGATCGTTGCCCAGGAACCTGGCCCTGAAACGCTGCCACGGCTCAGCAGAGGTAACCAAGGCCTTCCGTGTTTGTTCTTTTACAAACAGGCAAGACATTAATGAAGACAAATAGTCCCAGTCCAAATATATCAAAGCAGCTATGTGATGTTTTTAGTAAATGACAATTCTTTGCGTCACTCCAACATCCTTCCATCCTCTCATCTATCCTCCGGTGGGAAGTACTTAACATATTGTTGTCTAATTTGAGCTTTTCCTCTCTGCTATGTGTATGTTGAAGCAAACACAGACACAATAGCCAAGCCTCTGGGCACTCAGCCTGAGGGCTCTATGATTAGTAGTTATCTTAGATTCCCATCCCTTTGTTCCAGCAGAAAATTACACCATTAGGCAAAAACCCATAATATACATAATACCCTAAATGTTCTTCCAGGTAAAATATGTGTCATCTAGCATGGAGAATTATTTCCATCCTCTCATCTATAAATAAGTGAGTGGATAAGGAACTGACAATCATATAGTGTGGTAAATGCATGATAAAAGGTTAACCGCAAAGAACTAGTCATGAAAAGGAAACACTAAATTTCCTCTACAAAAAGTGTAGGGAAGGGAGATCAGAGGAAGTATCCCTGACATCTGCAGTAAAATACCTGCATTTACCACTTTGACCTTCTTATAAGAAATGTCTGGTTGACGCTAAAGAACAGGATACATGACAGTAATCTGTGACACAAGGGCAAGTCAAATGATGCCTTTAGACAAAGTCATTGAATGCAAGGACAAAAATATCTGGATAAACTAAAGACAAAACTGTAGGCCTGAGTCTACAGTGTAAAGATGAAAGAGAAATACACTACCATCGCTTTAGGGCTTTTGCTTTTTGAACATGGAGCTCAAGGTGCTAGTTGGGGTGTGACCATGACACCTTATCCACTCTCCCCCACCCTGGAGGACTGAGACAGAGGACTGAGTTTCACACCTGGTAGTAGCAGAACAAGACTAGTAGTGAAATTTTAATATGGGAGAGAAACTAAAGATAACTTGGTCGATTGGCTTATTAAATATTTAACATGTGAAGGAGAGAAAACATTCAGTCACAACCTCTGAAAATCCTCTCAGCCTGTATATTATAAAATAAGGACAACCTGCTTAATTGCCTTTTTCCACATAAGTGTCTCCAGGGGACAAAAATATTCAGTGAATTGACCAGATTCTTTGGAGGCTGTATTCCAAAGAATCTCATCTATCTTAGGATGTTTTAACAACTAAACGTGCCTTTAACTGCTCGCTCAGATCTTCTGTTTTATTAACTGACCTGCTGTTTGACGATTATGTGCTCTCTTTGTTTAACAGGTGCTTGGGGTGATGACTAAGGAGATCATTCCGAAGGGAACACGCTTTGGCCCTTTGGTGGGGGAGAGCTACACCAACGAAACTCTGCCGAAAGACGCAGACAGGAAGTACTTTTGGAGGGTAAGCAAGCCTCATGTGAGACTCTGCGAACTTAAATGTTAAATTCAACGATGTGCCTTTCAGAACTGTTCACATCCTGTATCTCTGACTGACTGGAGATGCTGCTTTGGCTATGTCGTGGCACGAGTTAGCAAATGTGGTCAACATCTGACATCCTGTCAATGTATGAGTCAAATTTGTCAATGGTCTGGTGTTTTTAAATGCCATTTGCCTTGATAGCTTTCAAAAGTGCATGCACCATATATGTCAGTGTGTTTGCCCGTTCTGTGCGCTTCTGTCTGAGGTCTTTCTCTCTCTCTCACACACACACACACACGCACAAGCACACACAGCTGTTTGGTTTCAGTGACGCAGCGGTTCTCCTGTGTCTTCGCTTCTCACAGTAGTGGTATCACTGCCAGTAAATACACCATACACATGTCCGCACTTCTCCAAACTAACAAACTCTCACACTGACTAAGCAAGGAAGTGGCTTCAAGCCTGAGAACTGTTTATGTTACACATTCAGCAGCATCAGGGCATCTTCCATTGCACACATGCTCCTGAGTAATTCTATAGCATACACTCAGCAACCTTGACATCATGCAACTCCAAACAAAATTTTGCAACAGTCTGACAATTTGTTAATAATACAGCCATGACTCAAGCTACAGCACAGAAAGAACACTTTTGTACAATCGCAGAGGAAGGGAGGAGGTGAATAACTTCACCGTGAATGTAACAGGTGAGAGTAAGGAGTGGGTGAAACAGTATACCCAATACTACAATCCAGTCATACAGAGAAATTCTTTTTGAGTGTTCCCTTTGTAACTCATATTGTGTGCTGCAAAGACTTGCGCCTATCCAACATGAAAGAAATTACAGCATTTACCATAAAGGTGCGAGGAAACTGTGACTTCATGGTTTCAGGTTCACTTCTAATAATCAAGTGAATTATTTCTGATCTCTTGTTCTGCTCACGCTATAGGTCTTCTCAGAGGGGCGCTTACACCACATTCTGGATGGGCTGAATGAAGAGCGGAGCAACTGGATGCGTTACGTCAATCCAGCATGCTCTGTGGAAGAGCAGAACCTGGTTGCATGCCAGAGTGGCTTGGACATCTTTTTCTACACCACCAAACGACTTCAGCCAGGCCAGGAGCTTCTGGTGTGGTACTGCTCTGAGTTTGCCCAGCGTTGTAACTACCCTCCACTGGGACAGCTGGCTATCGACAAAAACGGTGAGTGCGTGTGTTTTTGTGTGTGTTGTCAATTTAGGAATGCGCAAGGACCGAGTGCTGCTGAAGTCAACAGAAACTAACACGGTGCCCACGCATCGAGACGTATCTGGTTTGTTCTGTCATTGTGAAGTAAGGCCCCCAGTCAAAACGCCAGCCGACTGACACACTCTTTGTGTACGTGTTTAAGAACTTACTCCGTCACACCCATAGCTCCTTTGTTGACGCAGAAGACAAAGGAGGATAGTGGAGACTTGAAAGCAGAGAAGAGCTGTCTCCAGGTGCAGCAGCAGTACTGGCGTAAGATGAGACCAATTTCAGGATTTTAAGCAATGTTTCAGTTTCCCTTTTAAACTCCCACATAGAAGGCTGCCGGCAGCTCATTCAGCCAGACAGCATTTGGCATTCATTCACAAACAGTAGGAATGTGCATGCTAGCAGAAAGACCACGCAGAAAAATACTAATTCAAACACAGTCACAAAAAGAGGCCGCTAGAGGTGCTGATGGCACTCTGGCACGACACCCTTTATTTATTTGGTTCTTAAGGAGGAAGCGAGGTAGGAATTTCTCTACTGACTACTTGAACTTCCTGACAAGGTGACCTGCTGACAGATTGATATCTCACTCAGTTTTGGCTGTTTGTTTGCTGAGAGCTGGCCTCCCTGGAGTGGGGGCAGGGTAACCTGGGAGTGAACAAAAGATAAGAGATGTGCTGTTTGTGTGGGTTGTGGGTTAATTGTGTCTAAAAGTAGGTGAAATGTACATGCAAACCAATGTATTTGGTCTTCCTCTCTGTTGTCGGTTTGAGTCCCTTGCTTATTCTGTGGTAAAGTCAGTGAAGCAGTACCTTTTTACCTAGATGAAATGCAAATTTCAATCCAGATTTTCAATCCAATTTATAAAATCGTTTCTATCTGTTTGGGAGCTGTAGTTTATTTGTCACTTCCAAATGACAAGTTGATTTTTGTCTCCTGTACACTGTGTATCCTGTCTGTCTTGTGACAGAAAATACACCTTCAACTGCCCAGCCCTCTAATGCAAATAGCACACTGTATCCACTGACTCTTGCTCTCTGTGCTATCTGTATCATGATCAGATCCCCATTGTTTCATTTCTGGTGTCCACTTTAACAGAGTGCAAAGGTCAGGGACATTCAAACAGTTGCATCTGATAAAAAAAAGTGCATCTCCTGAAGTTTAAAGTAAATTGTTTGGCTAGCGTAGGTACTTTTGAAAGCAAACGTGCATAGTGATTAAGAAAGAAAACATACAACACGTGTGCTTGATAAGACGAATATGTGCTTGTATGGCTGCATGTGTCAGTTAGTTGAACGATGATAATGTTACATCTAGTCTATGTTAAGAAATCAGTTTCATGTCTCTGATGATCTTTCTCTATTGCTTATCTGTCTAACAGAACAGAGTCCAGCGAAGAAGACAACAAGGAAACGAGGTCATACGGTCTCTGAAATCCTACAAGACGACCTCTCCAAATCCCCTTCTACCTGCATCAGACGTGTGGACAGTTTTTTGCCTCAGACAAATGTCTCAGCAGATTTTCCTTTATGTCCCAGTGTTGTCTACCCACCTCAGCCTATCTCCAAATCTATGCATGCTAATAGATATGCATTTCTACCACCTCTGCCATCCTGTAGCCCTCCAGCTGCCAAAAGGCCAGCACTAAGCATTCCTGTCCCTACTAATGTCCACTTTGCCTTTCAGCACAGTCAAGGCCCTCCCGTAGCAAAGCCTTACCAAGATCCCTGTATGCCCGATATTGCTAATTCTACTCTAATGCACGGCCCCTATCTACTGCCCCACTACTCACTTGGCCTTCTACCTCATTCATATCCATTCTATCGTGAACAACTGAAACCTCACTTGGCAGTCTCACCCCATGTATCGCCCTTTCACAACTATGCACATTTTCAATCGCCTTTAACCAGTGGTTGCAAAGACTTGACACGTGCACTTTCTGATTCCAAACCAGACCTCTTTCTTTCACCAATCCGTGAGCACAGAGACAACAAGGACCTCATATCCAAAAGAAGAGCCTACCTCAGCATACCCTCACACGACCTCAGAGATTTCAAACACTCCCCTCCCACCAACGTTCACACAGACCTCGCTGTGCCTGCCACATCCACCGCCTCATCTATGGTCACTAAAATCCGTGAAGCACAGCCGTCTCTCACACCTGGAGGATGCTCGCCGCAAGAGGGAATGGCAGCCTCCTCAAACTGCCTCCCTTCCAATTTTACCTCTGCCACTCAAAGTGAAGCTGAGGATACAATGGACCTAAGCAAGACAAAGCAAAGTGGGCAGACAATTGGCTACAAGACCCTGTCTTACCCTCTGATGAGGCAGAATGGAAAGATCCGATATGAATGCAACATCTGTGGAAAGGTCTTTGGGCAGCTGTCTAACCTTAAGGTTAGTTGCTCTTCCACACATTAAAGCAGTGCGAAAGAAAATGACAATGACAATGACACCAGTTGAATACAGTGACTGGAGTATAGTATAATTGAATTAACCAGTTCCTCTGATTTCCTGAGTTTGATCGATAACAAATAAATTATCATATCTCCGACATCTTCTCAGGTTCATCTGCGAGTACACAGCGGGGAGCGTCCCTTCAGGTGTCAGACCTGCAATAAGAACTTCACGCAGCTAGCACACTTGCAGAAACACTACCTGGTTCACACAGGAGAAAAGCCCCATGAATGCAAGGTAAGGCTGCAGCTGTCGGAAATTGCTGGAAAGCATTAGACGCCTTATATCACTCTCGTAATAAATACGTAGGTGGACTAAAGGTTTGTACGTCAGAAACAAAACATTGAAACATCGCAGAGGTTATGTGACTAAGAACAAAATAAAGACTCATACAGAGATTCCCTTCTGCTGTGTTTTTACATAGGTGTGCCACAAGCGATTCAGCAGCACTAGTAACTTGAAGACCCACCAGCGGCTACACTCAGGTGAGAAGCCTTACCATTGCAAGCTCTGCCCTGCTCGCTTTACTCAGTTCATCCACCTCAAACTCCACAAGCGCCTCCACACTGGCGAGCGACCACACCGCTGTCCTCACTGCCCCTGTTCCTATCTCCATTACTGCAGCCTCCAAGTGCACCTCCAAGGCTTCTGCCCACTCTTGCCCCTGGCCTCACACAGATACTCGTCAGAGGAGCTATGTCGAGTTAACTCTGAGATTGAGAGGTTTGACATGAGTGAGGCGGCAGAGGAGCTTGAAGCCATGGCTGCAGAGGTTGATATGGACAAGGGGAATGTTACCGACCTAATACAGAAGATAGAGACCCGTGTCTCGGGCCACCGGGATGCTGACAGAGGGGAGGCTGAGAGAACCAACTACAAATCAGCAAAAGAGCGCTCGGGTGTTCAGCTGCATCACAGCAGTCCTGTACCTCTTCATCCAGCCAGCATCAAGCTGGAGTCAAGCTGCATATCAGAGCCCTAAGACAGCCCTGCTAATCCATCCATATAATCCTTACAGGTCAACTCAGCAGCTGTCTGTTACTGCCCTATTTGAAGTAAAGCCTTATCTCAATCATGGATTTCCTAGCCTATACTCTACGTAGACCACAGCATGTGAAAAATCTAGACTTAACCAGCCTGGCCTGGAAAAAGTGACTTTTTTTTATTAAATGTATAGATCTTTGTTAATTTATTCAATTACTTTTAATCTAAAATGTACAAAAAAACAACACATTTTTTGATATTTTGATTTTTATATCTCTGGAATGTCTTGATGGAACAACTACACATGTGATTATGCATTAAAAATAACAAAGATGTTTGCTTTAAAATGTGTTTTTTAGCATGAGACTGAATGTTTCTGTTTGTGTATGTATGCGTAATTGTGTCCCGTGATTCACGTAACTATTACTGTACAAGCATGACTTCATATGTAAGTGGGTTAAGCACTGAAATGACAGCAAAAAGAAACCTCAACTTGCCTTCTGGGTGAGTATACAGTTCTGAATCGGAGTTGCAGATAAACATCCTGTTATGAGTCTTGGGATACTCACAACCAGTAAATACCAACCCGTCATCATGGAAGGAAAAACAAAACAAAACACACACACACACACAAAATTGAACAAGATTATCTTCATGATCAATATCCTGTGAATAATTTTATACACGTATATCTATATTTGAGTTTTGGTATTAGGCAGTTGTCAGACATTTCACCCACACTGTGTGACTCCACAGTTTTAGTAAGACATATAAATAAATTAAAACTCAAACAAAGAGAACAAAACAGACTTAAGATGACTACTTTTATTCACAATGAACGCTGATTCGTACAGCGCAGGCTTGTGAATAAAACTGCAACCATATCTCTATATTAACAGAGCTATACTTGCTATACTCAAGAATTATTACAGGATTTTCTATCCAGTATCCTTCTGTGGTTCTTTTACTACAACCTAAAATAGTGTAGTTGTGGAAAAGGTTAAAAAAAAGTGCCAATTTATGCGAGTGATGATGAGGTAATGGGGCTCTTGTAAACTGCTCTGGAGCTTTTTCTCCATTTAAGAAAGTAAATTAAAGAAGTGGTGGGTCAAGTAGGTGTCATTAATGGCTTTCAAAATGACACAATCGTGACACAGTCCTCGAAATATGGGGCGTAGAACTACTGTAAGTGGTGCATGAACTATTAAAGAAAGACTCCAGCTGTTGTCATGACCTTCAATTAATTGAAATTAAATCTTCCTTTTTATTCAGTGTTTATTATTTAAAACTTGATTTTACCAGAAAGCCCCATTAGATTAAAACCTGTTGGGGGTTTTTTCAAAATGACAAAAAATTGTTAAAACAAATAACATGAATGCACATAAAGTAGAAAATAAATAAATAAATAAATAAATAAATAAATAAAGCAAGTCAGAGTCAACAAGTAACACAAGTCCTGCTTATGAATAGCAACTGCAGTCTTCTTCCACAGAAGTCGTTATCTTAGGGCTAAACATTCGGATTTGGTGTACTCTTAAGGTTAAGTCACGATCAAGTGCCAAAATAGAAAACACTATTCGGCCTAGACAGCGTTAACACACATAATATGGGAGCTTTTTCTGCTTTTGGCCCCTTGAAACCCGATTATAAAGGACACAGAGATGTGCACCGGTGTGATGTGGGGGATGAACTTTATTTATTGTTCTAAAGTCGGGCATGGCAGACAAAAAACGCACCAGAACCACAGCTGTAAACAGCGCTCACCGTGACCTGCGACCTCCACATGCGAGGAAATTCACGCTCAGATCAGTCTGCCGTCTATCACCAGTCTACCAAGTAAGATGCAGCACCGCCGTCACAAAAGATTTGAAGAAATAGACCGTGATGCAGAAGAGGTTTCCACGGTGGAGGGAGGAGAGGCTCGCTAAACTGATGCACCTTTAAACCGTGCTGTGACGTCAGATATTTTGACAGGGGGCAGGCAGCGGGAGAAGAAGAAGAAGAAGAAGAAGAGGAGGAGAGCGGATGTACCAAGCGGGGGCCAAAGGATGCCCAGGATAATGTCATCGGTGTGTCCTCCTTCACACCTATCCGCATCATGATAAACGCCGCAGGAGCGGTCGCCCGCAGGATACCGTCGGCGGCGCGGCGGAGCGGGTGCTGGATAGCGTGGTGCCAGGCGGTCCTGCTCGCCGTGTCGGGGCTGGTTATTGTGGCCGAACGGAGCGCTCGTAAGTGGGGATTCCAAGCGCTAGCGTGCTGCTAGCTTGCTTGCCGTGTTGAAACTCAACCTCGTGGAAAATAGATGTTGGGTTTTCTTTTTCTTTTCTTTTGCCATAATGTGATTGAAAATGATGCTACGTGCTGGAGCCGTCTCAGCTGCGGCCGTACTTCACGTTAGAAGAAGCACATTTGGGAGATCCTATGGCACAGCCGTTAGTACTGAACGGGAAAACATAGCTGAATTCCGTGTGCACTGCAATCCAATATCGGCGTTGGTTAGTCCACCTTTGTTGGCCAAACTGGGCCCCCCGAGACCTCCTGTGATCGTAAAACAGGATAACACAGCCTATTAGTTATTGAATTTAACTAGTGACTTTAATTAAGTGTTACTAAATTGCCGTCGCTGATCAATATTCGCATAATGCCCAACTTTTAAATTATAATTCTCCACCTTACGCCTCCCCCAAAATATGATTGAACACAATAAACACTTGTTTTTCCCAAGTCATTTTTTGCACATCTAGGATCTGTATTGAAAACAAGGTGCAGCACAGCGTTATGATTTCCTGACTGTGCAGATCAATGGGGCAAGGTCAGGACACCAGGAGGATACCTGGATGCGTACAGAGTGTGACTTTGTCTTCAGCAAGTATATCATTACCAGAAGATAAAAATACTGTGCTGCTGCCTGAGCTTCACACTTTAGACATTCTGCCATAATTAAAAATTTAAAAAGTGAATGCGTGCATAAATGAATGGCTATTTAGATTATCAGTAGAGTGGCACATTGATAAAGCTGTACCAGTGAAGCTAAGAAACAGCTAATGGCTGTTTTAAAGTGGTGTGGAATGACTCTGGTGTCTTTTCTGTCAGCTTGCGCCATCCCATTAGAAGATATCATTGTGCATCTGGGTGTTTGTTCTTTTTCTGTGTGTGTTTGTGTGTCAGTGATCTACTGTATAGGGTTTTACCTTTGGAATGAGGAGACACAGTGGGCAGGCCTCACACTTGGCCTCTTTCTACCGGGGACAGCAGTTCAGCTGCTAAGTGTGAAGTGGTACTATGATGATGGTGATGACAGGCGATGCTACCTCTCTGTTATACACATCCTGCACTTGGGCATCTTCAAAAGGTAAGCTCGTTTTTTCCATTCGATGTGCTTTACGTAGATACATTACAAAAGCAGACTATGTTTATAGAATGTAATAATTTTTAGTTTTTGTTAAAGTACAGGGCAAAAAAACAAAAAAATTCACATCACTCTGAAACCTTACTGAGTCGGTTATATTTTATGCCTCCTCTGGTTTTTGTCTCCATCTTCTGGCAGGTTGTGGGACTGCATGAGGTCTGTGCTGCGCATGCAGGGCTCAGTGGCTGATCTGGGAGCTGCTGTTATGCAGCAGGCAGATGTTGCTGCCCTTTGGCTGCTGGAAGCCCTTGTCCTCACGCTGCCTCAGAGCCTGCTGCAGGCGTACATCGTGGTGTCTACTGATGTGGGCATCGCATCACCAGGTAATTTTATGTTCAGTTGAATCACGGGATCCGTGTGATGTTTATGGCCTGTAACTTGTTATATTACATTTTTTTTATGCATGTTTTATCTACAGTGGCGTATTGCTGTGGCTTGTGTGTGCTGTCTATTGCGTGGGCCCTGGTGCTGTACAGCCGAGCCTGCTGTCTGATAAGACCAGGCCACCTGGCCATGCCTCCAGCAGCCCTGCTGTGCCAGCTGGTGTGGAGGGCATGCATGCTGGGTGCCAGGGTGACCTGCCTCACATTCTTTGCCAGAGTTTTTAATTGGTGGGTTTGTGGAGTAGCAGGTGAGCACTGAGAAGCGACTTTTATTTTGTTAAGACACTTGAAAGCCGGAGAAAGTGCACAGTTATATTAAACTAGTACATTACATTAAAGGGTACAGGAGACTCAATGACTAGTACACGCACAGATTTCCATGTGAAATTCCTTTGAGCTTAAAAAAAACCATTTTCTATTAACTCACATTTAACCACTGAGTTATGTAATTATCCTCAGAGCACTGTGACATGTCCTCTTGATCCAGTTTTCTGTTTCGCCTCTGCATCAGCGTTGCACACTGTATATGGATCCTGTGTTGCACTTGTAGACCTTCTATTCTATTTTTATGTTGACCTTCAGGTTTTCACTGGCTCACGGCCTCCTTTTGGCTGGTATCACAGCAACCAGACATCTGCACCGGCCCCTGGTGTTGGCGTGCTTTTAATGGCGTCATGGGGCTCATCCACGTCTTCCTCTTCCTCAACATCAAAGATGGACCCTCGCGCTTCCGCATGGCCAGTTTTTATGCAGTACGGCACGAGTTAAAGTTATTATTCTTCAACTTTTCTTTTTTTTTTCTGTTTTCATTATGTTGTTTTGTGCAGCTTTGTCTCATCTGCCTACTCACAGGGCAGCAGGGACAAACAGATATAGATACATAAGTTTGCAGTGTCATCCTCACCTCTGTGTGCTAAGCCCACAGTGACGTAAAGCTGTCTACAGATGACTGATGGTGCGACCTTCTCTCCTTCTTCAGTTCATGCTTGTAGAGAACGCCACTCTGCTGCTGGCCGCCTCTGACTTCCTGAGCGAAGCATCATGGGACAGCATGACCCTTCCCACCACTGTGCTGTGTGGCTTTCTCCTCGGTGAGTCATTTGTTTCTAGAGAATTTGCTGTTTGTATTGGGAGATTAGTCATAGTTAGAATAATGTCACACTGTTTATTAGTTTCTGTCATACCTAAGTGATAAATCCCCCCGTGTTTATTCACAAATTCTTAGAGGTATTGTTGTACAACAAACATAGCTACCGATATGCTGCCCTACTTGCAATACTCTTTATATGTGAGATTTTACTGTGCAAGATATTGTAAATCTCTTTATCTGAATACGTAAGAGTGGAGATGGGATCGTAAGAAGGCAAAAAATAAGTGAAACCTTGAATTTTGTGTGTGAGGTTGATATGCACGATAGAATTAATATAGTAACAGCCAGAGTGGCTGTTGTGATCTCTGCTGCAGCCTCCCTCTGTGATTCAGACTGTGCAGTCAGCTAATTGCTTGTGAAAGACCAAAACATACCTGGGCCACTAAAATCAATATTTCCTATTCCTTTGCTTCTTAGGTGCTACCTCTCTTGTCCTATACTACCGGTTCCTGCACCCCAAGTCCACAGAGATCTCCCAGGGAACAAACCACAACCACATGGGCAGTACATGCATAGAACAAGGGGAGTCCTCCTTCTCTCTTGGGGACAAAAGTTTGCCAGCTCATTCTATTCAAAACCATGGCAGCTTCTCCCTCTCAGGTGTTGCTGGTTCTCTGCTGGAGCATCCAGGGAACTGCGGGGGCAGGCCTAACAGCTCCTGTCCGTGTTACCACCACCACTGGCTCTTGATCCGCCTTGCTCTGAAAACAGGAGATCTTGGTAAAATCAACAGGGCGTATGGGGCTGGGGGAGCAGCGGCCGTACTAGACATAGAGGAGTACAACCAAGAATTTAAAAGTAACGAGGGCATCACAATTACAGCTGGAGGAAGCTGTGAGGGTGTCTCCACCTCCGAGTCTCAGGGGAAAGGTCTGGCACCCCTCTCGGACTGTAAAGACGAGTTCCAGAGCGTAAGCGAACCCACGTCGACTGAACAACCGGAAGAAGACGACAGTCTGGAGATGGAGAGCCCGATGGAGTCGCCCACATCGGATTTCAAACGCAGCTCACCAGAGGGTAAATCAATGTTTGGAGACAGCCCAGAGCCCTATTTCTGCCCTACAGAATCAAGTTCAACCTTATACTTCAGCGCCGATCCCCAATCTCCAAGCAGCGCCAGTAACCCCCGTTTGGACCGGGACCTTGGGGCTCTGGAGCAAGGCGTTCGCCTCAACTCAATCCCTAGTGATCCAGCCCTTCACAGAGATGTCCGTGGACTCATGGGCCGGGTTGGACCACGATGTATTTCCACCCCTAAATTGGACTCAGGGGTGTTAGACTCCCCTTCCAGTGTCCCTCATCTTAAAGGTCCAAGAAAGCAGCTCATATTGTCCCGAAGGGATGAGGATGAAAACTTTTAGCTTACATGTGACAGAATCAGGGAAGAAGTAAAAACGTATCCAACATTAAAGGAGTACACCAGCTTTTAAAGGGAGTGCTTTTTCAGCAGTCCAGCATTGTAGAATTAGAAAGCTGGCAGTAATTTCTCCTTTTGTCTATACACATATATTTAGTACACTGTGGGGCGTATGCAACAATTGTGGAATAATCCTCTCAAAGCATAAACGATTTTTCTACAAAAGCATTCCTTTGCCCAAAAGCCGGACACAGAGTAATGCCTTCAGTAGAGCTCATTTACCACAAAGGTTGTGTGTAGAACTCAGACACACCTTCTGCCTGATGTTCAGCTGGCATTTTCATTCTTTTGGTCACAGTGAACTTAAGCCTCAAGAATAATAACAATTATACTGTGCAACAAAATGAACACCGGTCGGTC